TCCCCAAGGCCCAGGACCCATCCTAAGGAACTGTTAAGGAAGTAGCTCCCAGTAAACAGGGAGGTGCTAATCAAAAACCACCCCAGGCCCTTCCTCCCCAGATTACTGCAACCTGCCTCATCAGCCCATGTATCCCCCACCTTTGGGGGCTTCCCATCTGCATTCTAGCACTGAAAGATAAAGGGAAACAAAGGAAATGAGTGTGGGAAAGCTGAAAGAAGACCTTAGCTGTAAAAAAGGGAAGACCTCCCCCTTCCATGGATTCTGCCTTTAGGGTCCCCTTCTTCCTTCGGGGGAGAAGTCTTTTCTGCTCTCCTTTAATAAAGCTTCCACTTTGCACTCTACACTTGTCTTGCATGCTTCTCCGGTAAACAGTGGTAACACTGGGATTGGGGTGAGGATGGGGAGGTGTGGTGGTAACCTACTGATGAAGGGTGGACCCCCCACCTTTTGGTGAGGAAGAGTAGACAAAGAAGATGATTTTTGCAGTGATGGATTTTCTAAAGAGCCCGCAGAGTTCTGTTCCAGTTCTGGCAGGGTTGGGGGAGGGGAGGCCTTTTTAGGAGGCAGAGGAAGAACCTCCAGAGCAGACCTCAGGCCATTCAAGGGCTCATGCTTTGACTAGCAGTGACATGCCGGGGCCTGGAGAATTCCCAGCACCAGGGTGACATGATCTTAAAGAAGAGAATGCTCAGGCTGCTGGTTAAGAAAAGAAGGAGGGTGAAAGGTTAAGGGTGGAGGTAGAAAGAACCCAATGAGTGCTGATGGGGCTTCAGGCCAGGGCAGCAGAGTGGTGGTGGCAGGTCAGTAGGGAAGAAGCTTGTTATAGACCAAATGGCCTGGAGGGCCTGTCTGAGGAGAGGCCATAAAAGCAGAGACCGCAACGCAGAGAGCCATGCCACTATGTGGGTGAAGAAATTTGTGGACAGAAGACACCGGTGGTGCAAAGGCCCTGTGGCCACCTATTCAGACCAGAGCCTCAGGATACTGGAGAGCATAACTGAGGAACAAGGATCAGGGCAGTGGCAGCAGTGGAGCCCAGGGGATTGCCTTACAAGGCGCCCTGCCGCGTTGCAGCCGGCCGTACTCATCCACCGAGTGCTTGGCTGGCAGCGGCCGGCGGGGGCGCGCAGAGGGGGCGGGGCCGGCGGGGCGCGGGCGGGGGGCTCGGCGCGGCGGCCACTGCGCGAGGTGACGCTGCTGCATCCGCTCCAGGTCCGCACCTGCCAGGTCCGTTCGGGCCAGGGGCACACAGGGTCCAGGCCCGCAGCCGCTGAAGACTCTAAAAACCCTCGCACACACCTGTCACGCCCGGCGCGCCCCCTGCCCGCACACGCGGCCCACGCAGCTCGGGACTCTGAGGGCCCACGCTGCGGAGTCCCCTTACTCCGTGGCACCAAGGGCTGAGTTGTAGCAACGCGGCCGCGTGGGTGGCCGTGGTCGTGACAGGTGGTTGTGAGCGGGGTCGCAGATGCATTCGGGTGGGTGGGTGGGTGGTCTGGGTGGCGCGTGCATGTGGGCGCTGTGTCTTGGTGGTAGGTCTGGTGGGGGAGGGGTCTGGGCCCTGTAGATGGAGGTGGGCTAGAGGGGCCAGAGTAGGGGTGCACAGAGCCTTCTAGAAAGCGGCTGCTCATGTAGGTTCCAATACGTGGAAGCAGAGAGGGGATGCCTAGGGATGTTGAGGTGGGGAAGCACTGGATGTCAGCAGCGGCCCCGGGATGGGGAATTGTCCATGTGGGAGTGGGCGCGGGGGAGGGGCAAGATGTACCTCGGCTGTGGGGTGGCTCTGACGGAGGTGGGGGCGGGGGGGCGATGATGGATTGGCAGTGGGATGAAGGTGGCTATCTCTGAGGACACCGATGGCGATGGCGGGAGGAGGGAGCTGCCATGCCCAGGGTCCTTCTCCACCTCCCACTGCAGACATGCTGCTGCTCAAGAAACAGACGGAGGACATCAGCAGCGTCTATGACATCCGGGAGAAGCTTGGCTCGTGAGTGTGATGCAGTGTGAATATGTGTGTGGACATGCGTGTGCATGTGTGCGTGAACATGTGAGTGTGGGGAGCAGTATGTGGGACATGTAAGCATGTGATGCGGAATAGATGTGTGTGACTGTGTAGGTAAATTGTGACGCGTTTGCACATCTGAGTGTGTGAATACGTGTGCGTGTGTGAATACGTGTGCGTGTGTGCATAAGTGCCGGGGAGGGGGGCAAGGGCCTCCCCATCTCCCTCAGCCCTCTCCTTCCCCTCCCTTCCCCCTCATTGGTCTCCCACCGTCTGGCTCTGTGGCAGGGGTGCCTTCTCCGAGGTAGTGCTGGCCCAGGAGCGGGGCTCTGCACACCTTGTGGCCCTCAAGTGCATCCCCAAGAAGGCGCTGCGGGGCAAGGAAGCCCTGGTGGAGAATGAGATTGCGGTACTCCGCAGGTGCGCCCATGCCTGGCCTGGGACCTAGAAGTTAGTGGGGATGGTCAGAGCCCCTTGGTCTGGGACCCCTGCTGGTCTAGCCTGAGCTTTGTTGCTAACCTGCTGGAGGGCCTGGGGCAGTTCTCTTTCCCTGCCTGGGCCTGAATGTCTCCAACAAGAAAGGGTCAATATTGATCTGTGCTTTTCAGACAGGATTTAGAATTGTGTGTCCTAGGAAGGCCTGGGCTGGGGTAGGCCAGGGTGGTCCGTGGTTAGGAATGGGGAGTCCATGCGGGAGCAAGAGAGGAAGAAGGTGGCTCAGGACGAAGCTCTCCCAGACCCTGCTGTGCTCCCCAAGGAGGCTGCTGCAGCCTGGACTTGTGCAATACAAGGAATACAAGGGCTACTTCTTCCTGTTCCAGGGTCAGCCACCCCAACATTGTGGCGCTGGAGGATGTCCACGAGAGCCCTTCCCACCTGTATCTCGCTATGGAGCTGTGAGGAGGGCCAGTGGGGGCTGGATAGGCGTGGGGGCTGAAGCTTGGGCTCAGGGGCCTGGGTTGGCTGAACTCCGGACTCCCCTCAGGGTGACGGGTGGCGAGTTGTTTGACCGCATCATGGAGCGAGGCTCCTACACGGAGAAGGATGCCAGCCACCTGGTGGCTCAGGTCCTCGGCGCTGTTTCCTACCTGCACAGCCTGGGCATTGTGCACCGGGACCTCAAGGTGCCTGGCTGGGAGCCCTCACACCTTGCCCACCTGGCCCTTCGTGTGTTTCCCCAGGCGCATGACTGGGGCCTTTCCCAGCATCCCTCTCCACTGAGGGTCTGGGGAATTTGAGAGTGCTGAGGCCCACCCTGTTCCAGTGCCGGTGCCATGCCGAGCCTGACCTGGCCCCCATGTGTCACAGCCTGAAAACCTCCTCTATGCCACGCCCTTTGAGGACTCCAAGATCATGGTCTCTGACTTTGGCCTCTCCAAAATCCAGGCTGGCAACATGTTAGGCACTGCTTGTGGAACCCCGGGATATGTTGGTAAGAGGGGGGAAACTCTGGGCCTCGCAGGCTGGAAGGAGGGGGCGGGGACCCTGGGGGAGCCAAGGTGCTAGGACCTGGGGTGACTGTTGCTGCAGCTGGGTTATTCCTGGGGCTGAATCACACATGCATGTGGTGTGCGTGCACAGTAGAATGTGTCTGTTTGTGACCTCCAGCTCCAGAGCTTTTGGAGCAGAAACCGTATGGGAAAGCTGTAGATGTGTGGGCCCTGGGTGTCATCTCCTACATCTTGTGAGTGACCAGTGGGAAGCCTCAACTCCTGCCTGCCTGCCCCCTGCTGGGTTGGGGAGGGGAAAACAGCTGGGTGATTCATCTGTGGGTGCCAGGCTGTGTGGGTACCCGCCCTTCTACGACGAGAGCGACCCTGAACTCTTCAGCCAGATCCTGAGAGCCAGCTACGAGTTTGACTCTCCCTTTTGGGATGACATCTCGGAATCAGGTGAGCTTGATGCTGACCCTCTGCTTGGTAGTGACCAGGGGTAGTAGGGACTGGGCAGGCTGACCTGGTCCCCCCTGCTCCAGCCAAAGACTTCATCCGGCACCTTCTGGAGCGAGATCCCCAGAAGAGGTTCACCTGCCAGCAGGCCTTACAGCATCTTTGGTGAGTGGGACCCCTGGCAAGTTGTCCCAGGCCAGAGAGACAATCTTCCATACACCACTGACCTCAGGCTTCCTTCAGGATCTCTGGGGATGCGGCTTTGGACAAGGATATCCTGGGCTCAGTCAGTGAGCAGATTCAAAAGAATTTTGCCAGAACCCACTGGAAGGTCAGCACTATTCTCCTGCTTCAGGGCATAGCCTCCACTGCCTACAGGTCACTATAGTCCTTGCAGTCTTGGGGCTGGGGCCCAGGCATGGCCTGACACACACCACCCACACTTCTTCCCACAGAGAGCTTTCAATGCTACCTCCTTCCTGCGCCATATCCGGAAGCTGGGGCAGAGTCCAGAGGGGGAGGAGGCCTCCAGGCAGAGTATGGCCCGACACAGCCACCCAGGCCTCCCAACTGGCCAGCCCCCCAAGTGGTGACGCCCAGGTGTGTGTGCCTTTCATCCCCAGAGCTTATAGGCTGGTGGTGTTCCATTTGGCCAAGAGCTAAGGGGGTGGGCCCTACAGAGTTTGCCTGGCCCTTCCTGTCCCCATTCTGCATGGCCTAGGGCTCCATGGTCCTGCCTCACTGGTCCCCAGTCTCTCCTGGTCCCTCTCAGCCTTCCTCCTGGATTCATCAGGGAAAGACCCCCAGGACCACTCCTTGGCCCCTGAGGGCTGAGGGCACAGAGTGCAGGAGGAGGAGATGGGTAGGGGCACAGGGAGGCCAGTGTGGCTCCTGACTGCCCCCTTCCTCTGCCTCTCTCTCCTCCCCTCCACCCCAGGCAGATGCTGAGGCCAAGTGGACAGACCCTGATTTCCTTCCTTTGAGTCCTTTCAGTCCCCTTCCCCCACCCCTTATGCCCCTGGCTGGTCTCTGTGAGTCGTGCACGTGGCGCATGGCTGGGGCAGGGATGGGGCACTCCTTGTCACTGCCTCCAGAAGCCTGGGAGGTGTTGGCAGGTGGGCTCCAGGGGCCGTCCTTCCTGCACTGTTCTGTGCTTTGCTGACTGTGGGTGGTTCTGCTTGTGTTGTGGCCCTCCAGCCCCCTTGTTTTCTCCAAACCAATAAAGACAGACAGAGCAATGGGCCAGTGGTGAGCTGGGGGGAGACATGTGTGGGGTTGGGGATCGCCTGGGGGAAGGGAATGAAGAAGGAAGAATGGACCCCATTGCCGCCTGAACCCCTGCTCTCTGGGATCATGGCAGACAAGGTCCCAATTGCCCAAGAATTTCCTGTTCCTACCCTCTAAGTACCAGCAAGAGGCCACCTGGCAGCAAGAGGCCACCTCTGCTACCCTACAGATCTGACTGCCTGGGACCCTCGGTCTCTGGGCAGCAGCAGAGGCACGCTGGGCTGCCAGCAGGGGGCAATGGCGGGAAGCCAAATCCCTCTCCCCAATGCGAAGAACAGCACTGTCTCTGGGCCTCTAGTGCAGGGCTGCAGTGTCCATGCTCTGCATATGCCGGGCCTTCTCCCACCTCTTCCTACCTCCTTCCCCTTCCAGTGGGCAGCTTGTGTGAAATCCTAGGAACCTCAGTGTCAGAGGATGAAAAGGAGCCCCTCAACCAGGAGAGGGTACCACAGGGGCCTCTACCCCCTGTACTGTGCTGGGGCTTTGGAACTATGGGCATCACGCCTGAGCGGACCCAGGCTAGCAGCTGGAACACAAGGAGCTGTGATGGATGGCATGAAGAACTGTGGTCTTTGTTCTGGTGTAGCGGCTCCCAGGTCTTCCATCACCACCTATGATGGATCAGGGCTTCAATGGCTGGCCTTGCTGGTTCCATCAGGGAAGACCCCCAGGGCTACTCCTTGGCCTCAGCCAGAATTCCAGGCTAGCAGGCCACCCCTTCCCCTTGGAGAATCCTTCCCCTGAGCCCCCAGGGGATGAGCTAAATGGCCAGGGTGCATGTTAAAGAAGATTCCTCTCCTTTTCAAAGTTTGGGATCAAAAGGAGGCCATGAGGCCCAATCCGAGGCTGGACTGGTCTTGGATATGATGGGGTTTGGCGTTGTTTCCAGGGAGGAGAGCAGTCATGGCACCTGTGCTCTGGGTATATGATAGTGCAGACAGCTGCTCTTCTGTCCTAACATTCTGCCATCCCCTCCCAAGACCAGGGGGAATTCTGGAAGCTGGTGGGCAGCTCCTCCCTCCTCACATCTACCCACATGCCATCCTACACTTCAGGCTTTGAGTCACACAACTCAGAGGGGAACCTCAGCTAACCAGTATCACAGCCAGGTCTCAGCACCTTGGCCTCCTTTCCTCCAAAGGCCTCTCCTGCCACCCCTCTGCCCCTACCTGGGGCCTTGTCATTATTTGGACATCTTTACCAGCATCTTGCTGGCTGGCTTGCTGTGTTTCCCATCTTCTCACTCACTCATACAGGACACTTATTTGTTCTCCTTTGGTTTGCAAAGTATTGGTTGGGCCTGTACTGTATGCCAGATGCTGGAAATGCGGTGGGCTCCTCAGACGAGTGCAGGGGATAGTTTTACTGGGATGCTAAGAATGATCTGTGTGGGGAAAGCACCATGCTTGCCGCTCCAGGAGCCCTGAGCATGAGTACTAGAGCCAACTTTCCAGAAAGAATAAACCCTCGTTCAGAGTGGCCAGCTCTTCCAAGTCAGGCGTGGGGCCAGATCCCTTCTGCAGAGTTGGGACCCAGCCCAGCAGCCCTGTCATATGGTGCAATTTGGCCTCCTGACAGCAGGGGGCGCCACGGTTACGTCTTTAGACATCCATTAGCCACCTCTGGTTCCTTCAGTACCTGGAGCAGTGGCTCAAATCTGTATTCCCCTCCACATCTCCCAAAATCCTGCCCTGGAGAAGTCCTCATTCAACAAAGAGGTCCTGTCAATCTGGGGGCGGGTGATAGGGGAGACTCCTAAGTTAGGTAGAGTGGCACCCCTACTTCATCTCTCCCAGACTTTCTCATCTGAGTCCAGTTCCGGAGAGGAAAGTTTTGGGTCACTTGGGCAGAAGGAGAGAGGAAGGGCTCCTTTACTAGAAGGCAAAGGGTGGTGTGAGGTAGGTGGAGAGGGAGCTGGGTGGAGGTACTGGGGAACATTCCAGCTTGTGTCTGGAGGAAAGGGCCCTAGCAATCCTGGCAAGGTAAGGGGTTCAGGCCTTAGTCTATGAGCATGGGGAGCTATTGAAGGGGTTTGGACCAAAGCATGCCTTTGTCCAGTTTGGGAGAAGCTTGAACTGGCTGTAAAGCTCAGGTGCTGTGAAGCTGGTGGAGTGCAGCCCCTCAGAGCAGGTTGATCTTCCCGGGTGTCAGCAGATCTGACCAGAATTGAGCAGGGGAACCCTTGTGGAGGATACAAGAAGAAACTGTCTCCCCAGATCTGGGCCAAACAGGGTAGATGACATGCTGTGTCTTGGAGCAAAAGTGTGGGTGGCAGAGGTTTCAAGGAGGCTCAACCTGTACAGTGTCATTGGGGACAGGGAGACCCAGAGGTTATCCTAGAAGCTCTTTAGGAATTGATGGTGGATTTGGGGTGGGGAATGAAGGAGGTAGGGTGAATAGCCTGTGTGTCTCTAGGTGGACATGGAACCATTCATAAAGAAGGGTTCAACTGGGGTGATTTTGGGGGAGACATAATGACATTGGTTTGGGATATGGTGAGTTTGAGGGGCCTGAGGGACATAAAAGTAGAGAAAAATTGACTTATTCCTCATACGTCTCTTTGCAAATATGTGTCTAGCTTTATACTTATTATTTTTAAGAAATATTTATTTCTTAGTTGTAGTTGGACACAATGCATTTATTTTATTTATTTATTTTTATGTGGTGCTGAGGATCAAACCCAGGGACTTGCACGTGCTAGGTGAGTGCTCTACCACTGAGCCACAACCCCCAACCCCTATACTTATTATTAATGAAGGTTTCTTCTTTCTAATTGTTTTATTTTGTTTACTTTGTTTTTGTAGTGTTGGGGATTGAACCTAGGGCCTTGTGCATGCAAGGCAAGCACTCTACCAACTGAGCTATATCCCCAGCCCCTCGGAATCTTTCTTCTTTCTAATAAAAAAGATGCTAATACTGACTCTTGATTGCACACTTAGTCTGTGCCAGAGACTGTTCTGGAGAACTTCACATATATTGACTTGAATCTCACATGTGAATGAGGTAGCTGACATTGTTATTATCTCCCCTACTTTCCATTTGGGGAAACTGAGGCTGAGTAACTGAGCCAAAGCTATGTCACTTGTAACAGTGAGCATTGAACTCACACTCTCTTACTACGTCTTCCTACTTGCCTCCATATAAATTATGTCTTGTTTGGGTCTTAATGACTGGGGAATTGAGGTAAGCAAGAGCACTTCTTTCCACCCATCTTTTCGTGAATGCTAAGAGTGTGCTAAGGAAGAGAGAACTCTGGGAAGGGAAAACCCACTGTGGATTTCAGTTTGGTCCTTGCAGGTGGCTAGTGTTGTCTTTACTGTTCTCTGTGCCTCAGTTGCAGATCTCACTTAATGGCAACCAGGCAGGTTTTCCCCGCAGTGGCAGGGATGGGATGTGGGACCTGGGCCCTCTGAAGTTCTCTTTGGAGTTCAGTATGAGGTGTGGTCCGGAAGTGGAGCAGGGTTGGTGACTGGGAGACACATCTGGGTCTGTGAAAGGAATAAGGCAAGAGATGTAGAGGGCCTTTGCCAAAGCAGCTGAAGTGGGACTGACACTGGAAGGATGGAGCTCAGTTGAAGCGGGTTGACCAGGGCAGGCCCGGTGGGTTGTGAAGGAGAACACAGGAGAGAGGCTGAAGACAAAGGGGCCAAGCCATGTCAGGTGCTGACTGACTTGGCTCCATAAACTGTGCATTCCTCCCGGCCAGACACTGTGTTTAGGTGCATGACAATCATTCTCCACCCAACCCCAGCTTCCTCCAGGCATTCCTGTCTCCATCCCTAACCACAGGTGGGCAAGATAAAAAGTACTGGGTGTCAAGAAATAACAAACTAATTTGGTTGATTGAGGAGACTTGTGAGAGGAAGTGGCTAGGGAACAGCTTGCGAAGTGAACTTTCTGAAGAGGACACTAGGGAGCCACTGAAGGTTTAAGCAGGACAGTGACAAGATGCGAGTTTTGTTTTAAAGATGTTTTCCCAACATTTTCCAATCCTATCTGGTCCCTCTTGATAATCATGAAAACCTTACATCCATTCCTCCAGTTCTTTCCCCTCACACCTCACTGAGATTTTGATAGATCTTCGAGCCCCAGGGAGCCAAGTCTTGCCTCACATGATGCTCTGAGTAGGTCCCAACTTCTTTATGCCAATTTCTCCTTGTAGTTGTTTCATTTATTGCTTACTGAATTTTTGAAGTTATGTTATTAAGTGCATATGAATTCACATTTGCTATATATTTCAAGTAAGTTAAACATTTTATCAAAATTTAATGAAGAATACAAGCTAACACGTGTATTAGTTTCAGCATTGCTTTTTGCCTTTATTATACTTTACTTTATCTGATATTAATATAGCAGCTATGCCTTTTTATTTATATTAGCTTGCTATGTCTTTTTTAATCCTTTACTTTTCAAGCTTAAAATTTGTCTTCTTTTTTAAAAATATTTTTTAGTTGTCAATGGATTTTTATCTATCTATCTATCTATTTATATATGGTGGTGAGAATCAAACCCAGATTCTCACATATGCTAGGCAAGTGCTCTACCACTGAGCTACAACCCAGCCCTAAAATTTGTTTTCTTATTAATATATAATTCATGTACTATAAATTTCACCCTTTAAAATATATAATTTAATGAATTTTAGTATATTTAAAAAGTTTCGTAACCAACCCTATGATATAATTCCAGAAACTTTTCATTATCCCAAATGGAAATCCCATTACCCCATAACTCTTCCCTCAGCC